GAATAAATGAAATTTTTTAGTTGAATACAGTTTTAAGGCAAATGTTCTCTGCATACATGCATTTTTCATTCATTGCATTTTCATTCATTACACTTAACAAAGTAACCATGTGATGATCATGCAAATTTACTAATTCTAAGATATGGTACTCAAGGTTCCAAGATAGATCCATCTAGTGAAAATTCTGCCCATCGATACAACACAAGATCCAGAGCAAGGAAAATGGAGGACAAAAATTCCCATAGATTTGAAAAGATAGAAAAAGCACAAGAGAAGATTGAGAGTGAGCTAAGTAAGATTCTGGAGGCTCTTAATAATATGAATAAAGGAAAATGAGTTGCAAAAAATACAAGCCAGCAAGTTCTCCCATTACAAGAAGTGGCTGACCCTTTGTACCCTCCAAGTTTTGGCCCACCTCAAGCCCAGTCTGCCCAAGATGTCCTGCCACAACACTTCGCATATCCAACATATCCTAGAATGCCATCAGCTTTCAACCCAGGGCAGTATAATAGCTATATAAATCCTGTCTTCATTGAAAAGGTAGCAGAACTAATTTCTAATCTAGATGATTTAAAAGAGAAGGAGAAAGAAAAGATGAGAGTGGAAGTTCAAGAAAGTTCCAAGATTAGCATGCTAGAGCAAAGGCTAAGGGCTGTGGAAGGATTTAACTTTTATGGATCGGTTGATGCTGCTGGGCTCTGCTTAGTTCCTGATGTGGTTATCCCCCATAAGTTCAAAGCATCGAAATTTAAAAAATATGATGGTACAAAGTGCCCCAAAACCCACATCACCATGTATTGTAGGAAGATGGCACCTCATGTGCATGATGAAAAACTATTGATGCATGTTTTCCAGGATAGTCTTACTGGCTCTGCGGCCAGATGGTATGTTTAGTTAGACAGGACTCGCATTCGTTCTTGGAGCGATATGGCACATGACTTTATCAGTCAATATTGACATATCATCGATTTGGCCCTTGATCGTTTGTCTTTATAGAATCTGGAGAAAAAGGCAAACGAGTCTTTTAAAGAGTATGCCCAGAGATGAAGGGATGTTACTTCCCAGATACAACCTCTTCTGACTGAAAAAGAAACTACAGTGTTGTTTGTTAGCACTTTAAAACCTCTCTATTATGAAAAGATGATAGGGAATGCGACAAAAAATTTTATTGATATGATAATCTCGAGAGAAATCATTGAGAGTGCCATCAAGAATGGCAAGCTAGAAGGAAATGAAGCATCTAGTAAAAGAGTCCTGAAGAAAAAAAATCGAAGCCCAGGCTGTGAGCTTTGATAGACAGCCATTTAGAGGTTATTCACCTTACCCATCACCAGAATATCTGTATATCACCTCGCTGTAAATAACACATCTTTTCACACATACCAACCATTTACACAACCACCATACCCCCAAACATATCAAGCCCCTCATAAACCCTAAAATATCATATATAGTCCTAACATTCAACCTACCTCAAGACCCCAAAATCGCCCAACTAACCCCATTGGTGGCACACGGGAGCAACGAACCACTCGTGAGAAATCTATTTTTGACCCAATTCCAATTACTTATACGAAATTATATAAGGAGCTCTACAATAGTCATTTGATTGCTCCAAGTAAATTAGAACCCCTCAAAGCCACCTTACCCTAAGTGGTATGATCCTACCGTCCACTGTGATTACCATTATGGGATTACTGGTCACTCTACCGAAAATTGCATTATCCTGAAACACAAAGTGCAACGGTTGATCAAGGATTGGATGATTTACTTTGATACTGGAGGGATGACTACACCGAATGTTAGTGGTAATCCTTTACCGGATCATAATGTGAATGCTATAGGTGAAGAACATAAGCGTCATGTGAAGAAGAAAGTAGCAAATATTAAGACACTTCTCAGCCAACTGTTCGATATTTTACAAAAAGCAGACATGATACAACTGATAAGTCCATATAGCTATCATAAAGCATATATAGCTGGTACTAGTTATAAGTATCATAATGGGGCAATGGGCCATTTCATTAAGACTTGTGAGCAGTTCCACCAGGAGGTGCAAAAACTCTTGGATTCATATCAGATGAAGATTTATGAAAAAAAAAAGACTTAAAGAATGTTGAGGTGCACATGACTGATAGGCCTGTAAAGCTGTTTCCAAAATCAGTGACAATTCAGTGTGGGAACAAACCAAAGTCAGTCATAGACAAACTCCTCCCCAGGTCGATAACTTTTAAAGTCCTGACTCTTTTTTCATACAAAGATGATAAAGCTGTACCCTGGAGATATGGCTGTGACACTATAGTTCAGGGACAGAAAAAAGAGGTCTCCAAAGTCGATGCTTCCAATATTACTGGTGTAAGAGACATTACTCGAAGTGAGAGATGTTACACTCCAGAAATGCTAGAGAAAGCTAGAAGGAAGAAGGCTAAAGAAGGAGAAAGATGAAATAATCCTGAAATAGAACCTGAAAAAGATCAACCAAAGCCAGTATCAAAAAAGAGGTTTGTGAATTTTTGAAGCTGGTAAAACATAGTGAGTATTCTGTTGTGGAACAGTTGAATAAAATGTCAGCTCGAATCTCACTATTATCATTGCTGCTAAACTCAGAGCCACACCAAAACACTCTGCTGAAAGTGTTGAATCAAGCATACGTGGCACATAACGTATCTGCTGAATATGTGAACCACCTGGCTGGAAACCTAGTCATGCCAAATCACATTTCATTCAGCGATGATGAGATTCTTTTAAAAGGAAAAAAAATGCCAAGGCTCTGCATATCACAGTCAAATGCAAGAGCCATATTAGTTTTTATCAAATCATCCATCAAGAATTTCAATCTTAGCATAAAATAACCTAGCAAGAATATCAGGCCTATCCTCAATCCATTGTCATAGATAGAGTCTCATTGACTTTAGGCCATCTTGGATTGCATGTAAAAGTAATAAATGCATACACTTAATTTAATTCGAGATATTTTATCACTTTAACTAAGGCTCGATTTTACAATTAAGCCTTAACCATAATTTTTCGAGTCTATTACACAATTTATTTTTAAATGCTTAAAGATGAGACCCAATGTAAGCCCTATAATGAGGCATGTTGCATTGACTCAAATAATACTTGAAATGGCCTAGTAAAAAGTTAATCCATAAAGCCCATTAATGGTCCATTGTTGGCCAATAAATCGAAAAAGCAAATAAAAAAATACAAATAATATAAAATATACTAAAAATACAAAATTTTAGCCTAATACATATAAAAAAAAAGAGAGAGCTTGGTCCAATAATAATAATAAAAAAGGCTTGGCCCAAAAAATAATAAAGCTTGAGGTGACAAATAAAATAAACTAAACAAGCCTAAAATGAGCCCAAAACAAATCCAAAAATTATAATAATAAAGCCCAAAATAATGTAAACATAAGCTAAAACAAACATGCACTCAAAAGAACATGTGTGGTGCATCCCAAGAAGTAAAAGAAAAATGTTGAAGAAAAGTTGCAATGGGGAAAGACAGGTAACATGGAGGAGGAACATGTGAAAGAAAGATGCAGTTAAAAAAAAATTGTTTGAAAAATGGAAAGAGGGAGAAGGGAACTTGCATGGGAGGTGCACGCGTGAAGAAGAAGAAGAAGAAACTGTAAAACAAAAACTGGAATGAAACTGTTACAAAGAGGGTAAGAAGAGAAAGGAGGGGACAGGGAGTAGAAAAGTGGGCATTTAGCAGGAAAAGCCAAAAAAAAATGCAAAACAGAAACTAAAAAAATCAAGCAAAAAACTGGGTAGCAAAAGAAAGAGACGGGAGAAGAAAAAAGAACCAAACAAAAGGCATGAAGCAACAGACCCAAAAGAAGAGAAACAGTGAAAGAAGAAAAGAGAGCAGAAAAAGAAAAGAGTAAAAAAAAGAAAGGTGACACCATGTGCAGTGTGTCATAACATATAGATCCGAAAATCTATAGCTAGACTTAACAAATGGATGGAGTCGCCACCAATCTTTTTTACTAGGTGTGATTGGCCACCACTCTTAAGCTTGACTAAGGTCATTAAAAAAATAAGTTCAAATCTACTAACCAAAACAGGGTTTAAGAGTTTGGTTACATGTGAAGAAGGTTATAGCACCCCCACATGCCCATCCGAATGATGGTACCATATTATTTTAAATTTATCCTAAGGTATTGAGTCTAATGGTCTCAAATTTTATGTTAAATATTGAAAATAATTTTTAAGATTCTCTATCAATCTGGTAGAATTTTCAAAAAAATACTTTCTCACCTCAAGAGTATTCAAGAATCCCATTTGATATCTCAAAGAGGCTCCATTGTTGGAAAAAAATTTATTTATTATTCTTTTTGTTTTAAAATATATCTAATTATTCCACCATTTGGGCAAAATTAGAAATATTTTCTTTTTTTTCGAAAGAAAATAATATGACAATTATTTTTATTGAAATTTCATTTAAATTATTCCACCATTTGGACAAATTTAAAGAAAATTTCTCACCTAAAGATTTGTTAGAAATTTAACATTTGAAATTTCTAAAAATCTCATCCTTGGATAATTACCAAATATTTTCAACCCAAATTTTATTTTTTTATTTTTTTGGTTTCAAAATAAATATTAATTATTGTTATTGAAACTTTATCTAAACTATTCCACCATTTCAAACAAATTTAGATAGAATTTCTCACCTTAGGAATTTTATAGAAATTTACCATTTAAAATTTCTATAAATTTCATCATTGGATAATTAATATTTATACTCAAAATATTTTATTTTTTATTTTTTTCAAATTTAATCATGCCAAAATATAAAAAAAAAACACATAAATAAAATACTAAATAACAATAAAAAATTACCAAAAGAAATGGCTCGGCTCAAGGGGCTTGACGCGACTCAACTTGAGACAAAAACTAAAAAAAAATTGTTTGAATCTCCAGCAAGTCCTTCTTTTTCAACTGTTGCACTGATGATGTGCTATTAGCAAGTAGTATACTACTAAACAATTATTTTCGAATGTCCACGTTGCGTCTATTAATGCTTTCTATAACCACTTGTGGCAAACCACGACCAGCTGGAGAAATATCAGCAAAATTGTCCATTCCAGGAATTGTTTGAGCCAAAGGTGACTTAAACGGAACATCAAGGATTTTAAATCTATCAGCACTAATTTCAATTGTCTGGCCATCAAGAAGCTCGTACGGGGTCATTGGGACATTTGAATATGCACTTTCATCATATGGAGTATCAAGAAGTCGGCACACACATTCCTTGATATCACTTGCTATAACTCTCTTGGAGTAGAGCTTGTAGGATTCTTTGCTTTCAAAGCTTTTCATCAAGCAATCGATAAAACATTATCCTCCAATAGAAGAAGAAGACACTGCTTTTTGAAGAACATAACCATCCTGTACTAGGGCAACTGTAGTCGATCTTTCATCACTATCAACAACGACAGAGGTAGCACGTCCTGATGCAAAAGATGTAAGAACCATATTCTTGGCCAAAAATAAATCAAAAACTTCATACTTTTCGAACATGAGTTACGCTGTCCTCTCTCTCTACTGTTGAGTGTTGGAAAATGGCTCCGCAAGTAGCATTGGATGTTCCTTAGGATCAACGAGTAAACACTTCTTGAAAACATGATCCCATATGCTGTCAAAAATATCCCAATCAATAATAACCCCATCCTTTTGGGGAAACAGCATTTTCATATAATCGTGTCGAAAATCCAAGGCTTGAGAGCCTACATACAATCTGCATCTTCTCTTGGGTTTGTTGGAATCAACATTACTATTATTAGTCTCAAAATTGTTGTTTTCGTTGTTAACATTAGCGGCATCCATCTTATCAATGGACCCCACAACAGAAGGAAACACGGTTTTAGGAGCATCTTCGCTGGCATAACCAGCTTTGTAAGTATGAGACCCTTGATCTATCACTATAGCCGATACTTCATCCTCTCTGTACATGGCTACAACTCATAGTGAAAGAAAGCGATACCATAAGGAATAGAGACGTGTAGAGAAAAACAAACAGAGAAGTGCGACAGCACGAATGCTAGATATGGTCGTTAAGCAAAAGGAGAAGTGGTTGTCGACGGCTTGGGGCAAAAAGGCTCGACGAAATGGGAAGTGAGGAAGAAATTTTTCTTGTTTTTTTTTTTTTTTTGACTTTTGCTTTATGTGGATATTTATAGGATCAGAGAATCCTAATCCGAACAGAAATTTCAATTCCTTTCAACCTTCAATTTCAGCTCAAATTCAAACATATAATCCTAATCAAACTCAACTACCCATTTTTTTATTTTTTTATTTTAGTTTTTTTTTAATTTTTAATTTTTATTAACAAAAATCAAATGTAGACCCCCGAACAAATTTGCGTGTCTACAACTGTCCATTTTCACACATTTTCTGTGAAATAAAAATTGTACAAAGACGTAAACACCCAATCAAGACTCAACTTGATACTTTTTTTTTTTTTACTAAAAATTGCTCCTTTTTTTTACTAAAAATTGCTCCTCTAAACAGAGGAAACAGAACTTTAGAAAAATAAATGGCTTTTCTAAACAGAGACAACAGAACTTTTGAAAAAATAAATGGTTCCTCTAAATAGAGTAAAAAAACTTTGAAAAAATAAATGGCTCCTCTAAACAGAGGCAACAAAACTTTTGGAAAAATAAATGGCTCTTCTAAATAGAGGCAACAGAATTTTTGTAAAAATAAATTGCTCCTTGACAATCATCACCAGAAGAGTCATAGATCATGTTTGATGGAATTTGTAACAGAAACTCAAAGATTCATAATTTGAGTTCGAAAATCAAAGGTTCAGATTCGTAAAAATTTTCTAAAATTTGATTCTCTAAATTTCAGATATGCAAAATTTTAAATTTGTAAGATTTCCAAAATTTACATTTGTGAGATTCTCATCTAAAGTTCAGGGATTCACATACAAATTGCAAGGCTCACATCCATCATTCGAATTTTGGAGATTCACATCCAAAAGTTCAAAGCTTTTTATTTGAGTTCAAAGGTTCACATTCAATAAAACTTAGAGTTTCACATCTAAAATCTCAAAGGTTCTCATTTGAGTTTGAATATTCACATTCGATAAATTTTAGGGTTTCACACCTCAAAGATTCTCATTTGAAACTCAAAACTCAAAGATTCTCATTTGAAAACGTCTTAAAGATTCTCGTTTAAGACTCAAAGGTTTTCATTTGAAAATGTCTCAAAGATTCTCATTTAAGAATCAAATATTTTCATTTAAAAACATTTTAAAAATTCTCATTTAAGACTCAAAGATTCTCATTTGAGGGCTCACAATCTTGTCTCAAAAGACTCCATCAAAATATTCAAAGTTCTTTTCCAAATGACTTTCAAACTTTTATCAAAATCAAAATTTTGTATGTAATGAATGTCATGATCAATGATGTAAATACTTTCTTGATGGTGTGAATGCTACAATATGGATTCTCATAAGACTAAAAATGTCATGTTCTCAACCATGAGTCAAATATTTACAATAATGCAAACGTAATGCATGTAATGCAAATATCCATGTCATGAAATTCTAATTAACATGTGGTAACACGGTTCTCAAGACCCCACCATTTTGCATTTTCCCATTTTAGCTTCTTTGCACTTTAGAACAAGTTTCATCAACTGATCCTCATTAGTTTCATCACTTGATCACCATTCATAAGTTTATCAGCACTAACAATTCTGGAACAAGTTTCATCTATTGCCCCATATGGCAAGCTTCTCAACACTAACCATTCCAATATAAATTTCATCCATTGACCCATACTATTCTCATCACAATTCATAGGCTTCTCAGCACTAGCCATTTTAGAATAAATTTTATCCTTTAATTCACACTATGTTCATCCCTTGATCACCATTGACAAACTATGTCAACCAATTCATCCTCATATTCATCATTTGGTCACATCATGTACCTTCTCAAATCATCCATTTTTAGGTTTCTACCATATCTTCATTTTTCTTTTATCATCTTGGATTTCTCTTCAAAGAAATGCAAGACTTTTTTATGCACATTGTCATTCATTCATCATCATTTCAATTTTTGACAAATATAATGCACTCATACATTTCCTCGATGTATTCTGGGGATGTAACAATAAAAGAACACAAGGTGAATTATGGGAAAGGTAATCAATGTAGAACTAGTTTGGTACAAAACAAATAGGGAAGGAAACAAATTGGATGCATGTCATTGGGATGAATGGTATATCTAAACAATGAATATTCAGATAATTTTGAACATTAATCCAAGATTTTTTTTTTCTAAAACTCATTCCATTGACTATCGAAATCATCTTAAACTCATCAAACTTTGCTCCAGCCTTGGAGGATCTTTAGATATCTTTGATCTTTCATATATGTAAACTGTCAACTCAGAGATTTTTTACCCAAATCATCCTTTTGGGTTTTCAATTTGAGTCTTCATTTTCTCTCCTTTTCATTTTTTTTCTCTTTCATTTTTTTTCTTTTCCATTTTTTCCTTTTTTTTTCTTTTTTTTTCTTTTTCTTCATTCGTTCACCCATCTTTCACATTAATCTTTAGAGCAACCAAGCAATGATTCTGTCATTCCATCATGAGCATGCCTTAACCTAACATATGACCATTCAATTCGAGCAATCACATTTAATCTAAATGAAATTTTTAAAGGTTGTAATGTAGGCCATGTTGAGGGGTCATGAAAGAAATGGATAAAATAGGGTCAAAACATATGTCTAAAGGGTTTAAAACCAAGGGATCATTTCTTATCATTCGAAATTACTTGGCATTTTATCCCATTCCACATTATTCCCTTACTTTCTTTTTTTTTTCCATCTCATTCCTCTCAAAAGGATTCTCATTACTTTGCCCCAACTTATTTATGGCATTTTTCTTTTCTCTCTTTCTTTTATTGTACTTTTTTTCTCTCTTTGAGACCTTTTACGATCTTTTACCTCTTTTTTTTCAAAAAAAAAAGTCTTACAGTATGAAGGTAATCCTTGGTTAGGGTTCTTTGAAAAAAAAAATCATAATAGCTCAAAGAGGTAACAATGAATGGTTTTTCAAATGGTAAAAGAAAGATAGCCATTTTTCATCTCAAATGTGAATGTTTTCCTTGAAGATCATCTATTAAACAAAAATAAGCTCATGGATCTTTATAATAGACTGTACATCTTCATGACATACCTATTTCACATCTGCTAGTAGTTAGCTTTTTTTGCTCAAATAATTTTTTCAGATTAATGTGAATAAGTTCTCAAAATTAAATCCCAGAATTATTGTTATCATTATCTAAATATTCATCATCTGAAATTTGAGAATAGGAATGAAAATTAGAAAGGTAACAAAGTATGAAACAATGGTTGAATAGAAAAAAATGTAATGAAATGCATTAACTTGCCTTTTATTGAAATGATAACAAGTGAAAGCCTATTGCATAAAAGAAATCCTAACATTACTCTAAAAGAAATCCTAAAATGGCAAGCAACCTCTAACCAGCCTTAATATCTTTCTCAAAATTATGCCCTGTAATCAGGTGAAGAATTTTTATCAACATTTTACCCTCGATTCATTGCAGCTTTTCAGGCTCTTTTGGATTAATGTGTTCTTGATTCTCACTCAGAGCATTGATATTATGATTAGGTAATAAATTGTCATTAACATTTGGTGTTGTTGCTCTTCATTGATCAAAACTTATCATCCCATCATTAATTAACTGTTGCAGCTTATGCTTTAAAGCAGTAAAATTTTTAGTGGAATGGCTAGCAATTCTATAGTAGTAGTCACAGTGAGCTATAGGGTCATACCACTTAGGATAGGATGGCTTAAATGGCTCCATATGATCGGGGGCAATCAAGTGGTGTTATAGAGCTTTTGATATAACTCTGTATAAGTCATAGGAATTAGATTAAATACAGGTTTTTCTCAAGTTGTTTGTTACTCTCGTGAACCACTTATTGGGTTAGCAGACTAAATTTGAGATCTTGTAAGAGGTTGGATGTTAAGGTTGTATATAAGATTTTAGGGGCTGAAAATGGGCTGGTATGTGGATGGATAAAATGGCAATGAAGTTGGCTGGTATGGGTAGGATAAGGAATTGTCCCTAGCAGGATAGTATAGGGAATAACCTTGTGGATAGGGTTGGTATCCCTTAAACTGTTTGCCAAAACTCACAGCTTGAGCTTCAGTCTCTTTCTTCTCTGATGCTTTCTTAGTTTCTCTTCCTTTTAGCTTACCATTTTTAATGGCATTCTTAATGATTTTGCCTAAGATCACCATATTAGTGAAGTTCTTTATTGCATTTTCTATCATCTTTTTATAATAGAGGGATTCAGAGTGCTGATGAATAACACTGTGATTTTTTTTTCTATCAAAAGAGGCTGCATCTGAGAAACAATATCTTTCCACCTCTAGGCATACTCTTTAAATGACTTAGTTGCCTTTTTTTTCATATTCTGTAAAGATAGACGATCTAGAGTTAAGTCTATGATATATCAATACTGACTGATGAAATCATGAGCCATATCACTTCAGAAGTGAATGTGGGTCCTATCCAACTAGACATACCACCTAGCAGCAAGTTTATAAGGCTATCTTAGAATACATGTATCAATATTTTTTCATTATTAGCATGGGTAGCCATATTTTGACAGTACATGGTAATGTGGGTCTTTGGACACTTTGTACCATCATACTTCTCAAACTCTGGCACCTTGAACTTCAAAGGGATAATCACATCTGAGACTAAACAGAGCCCAACAATATCCATTGAACCATAAAAACCAATGCCTTTTATGGCCCGTAATCTTTCCTCTAATAAGTTTATCTTCCGTTCAGCTTTTGAGGCTTCTAAAGTCTCCTTCTCCTTAGGTAGTTTCTCTTTCTTTTTCAAATCATCTAGATTAAGGATTTGGACTGGTTCTACTATTTTTTCATTAAAGATAAGATTTACATAGCTATGGTAATGCCTTGAGTTTGAGGCTGATGGTATTTCAGAGTATGTGTACCTTACAGGGTATGTGAACTGCTGTGGTGGTGGACCTTGTATAGGTTGAGCTTGATGTGGCCCAAAACCAAGAGGGTATAGTGGGTCATCCATTTCTTGTAATGGAGGGTTTTGTTGGATAGTACTTTTTTTATACCCTTGCCTTTATTCAACTTGTTCAAGGCCTCCAAAATCTTACTCAACTCTCCTTCTAGCTTCTCTTGAGCTTTTTCTATCCTCTCAAGATGATTAAAATTTTCTTATTTCTTTTGTTTGGCTCGAGCCCTGGTATTGTATTGGTGAGTGAGGTTGCTTGGTAGAGCTATTCTTGAACCTTGAGCACTATAATTATGATAAAAAAATGCTATGCTTTATGCATGATATGTTGATGCATGAAATGTACCTTTTCATGAATGAACTATAATATGAAAATGATACATATACAAAATGTTACATATGACAATGAAAATGATCCATGACATGATAATGCAAATGCACAAAGTCAAACAAATAAAATGGTTAGATCACAAATCGTTTTTTCTTATGTCCTAACTTCAGATTATATCTATTAATGGGTAGGAAGGGCTCTATCCTAAGGCTAGCCTCTTAAATGTGAGCTATATATAGGTTTAGGTGATTTTGACCACTAAAGGTTCCCAAATTGTTCCTTACATTATCGTCCATCACAGACTAGTAAGGCAGTCCAATCCTCACCCATCACAGGCTACCAACGAAAATGATTCAATTTGAGTGAGAGTATTTCACTAGCCATTGCGGAGATTATCATCTCACGAGAGCGTAGATACTTTACTCCCTCCTAAAAGGGACAAAACCCTGGTATAGAGCCCATATAATGCAAAATGCATGTGATAGTGTGTGAAGGAACATATAGGTTTTAAGCCCCAAAAATAAAATAAAAAACAAAAAAAAATGTTAGTAAGCAAGTAATTACAATTTAAAACCATTAGATCAAAAGATAGGATAAATTCAAAAACTATAGCTTGACTCTCTAGCTTCCCCAGTGGAGTCGCCAAATTGTCATAACATATAGATCCAAAAATCTATAGCTAGATTTAACAAATGGATGGAGTTGCCATCAATCTTTTTTACTAGGTGTGATTGGCCACCTAAATAATCCATCCTCGTAAGAAACTCTTAAGCTTGACTAAAGGTCCTTAAAAAAATAGGTTCGGATCTACTAACCAAAACATGGTTCAAGAGTTTAGTTACATATAAGAAAAGTTATAGCACCCCCATATGCTCATCGGAAGGATGGTACCATATTATTTCAAATTTATCCTAAGGTCTTGAGTCTAATGGTTTCAAATTTTTTGTTAAATATTGAAAATAATTTTTAAGATTCTCTATCAATCTGGTAGAACTCTTAAAAAAATATTTTCTTACCTCAAGAATTCAAGAATCCCATTTGATATCTTGAAGAAGCTCCGTTATTAAAAAAATGTTTATTTATTATTCTTTTTTTTATTGAAAATATATCTAATTATTCCATCATTTAGGTCAAATTAAAAATATTTTTTTTTGAAAAAAAATTATATGATAATTATTTTTATTGAAATTTCATTTAAATTATTCCACCATTTGGGACAAATCTAAAGAAAATTTTTCACCCAAAGATTTCTTAAAAATTTATTATTTGAAATTTCTAAGAATCTCATCATTGGATAATTATCAAATATTTTTAACCCAAATTTTATTTTTTTTTATTTTTTTGGTTTCAAAATAAATATTAATTATTGTTATTGAAACTTTATCTAAATTATTCCATCATTTAGAACGAATTTAGAAAGAATTTCTCACTTAAAAATTTTATAGAAGTTTTTCATTTGAAATTTTTATAAATTTCATCATTGAATAATTAATTTTTATTTTTATTTTTTTTCAAATTTAATCATGCAAAAATACCAAAAAAACAAACACATAAATAAAATACTAAATAACAATAAAAAAAAACCAAAAAAAAGATTCGGCTCAAGGGGCTTGGCGCGGCTCCACTTGAGATAAAAACTAAAAAAAAATCGTTGGAATCTCCGGCAAGTACTTCTCTTTCAACTGTTGCACTGATGATGTGCTACTAGCAAGTAGTATACTGCTAAACAATTCTTTTTGAATGTCCACGTCGCGTCTATTAATGCTTTCTATAACCACTTGTGGCAAACCACGACCAGCTGGAGAAATATCAGCAAAATTGTCCATTCCAGGAATTGTTTGAGCCAAAGGCGACTTAAACAGAACATCAAGGATTTTGAATCTATCAGCACTAATTTCAATTGTCTGGCCATCAAGAAGCTCGTACGGGGTCATTGGGACATTTGAATATGCACTTTCATCATATGGAGTATCAGGAAGTCGACACACACATTCCTTCATATCACTTCTATAACTCTCTGGGAGTAGAGCTTGTAGGATTCTTTGCTTTCCAAGCTTTTCATCAAGCAATCGATAAAACATTCTCCTCCAATAGAAGAAGAAGACACTGCTTTTTGAAGAACATAACCGTCCTGTACTGGGGCAACTGAGTCGATCCTCCACCACTATCAACAACGACAGAGGTAGCACGTCCTGATGCAAAAGATGTAAGAACCATATTCTTGGCCAAAAATAAAGCAGGAACTTCATAATATTCGAACATGAATTACGCTGTCCACTCCCTCTGCTGTTGAGTGTTGGAAGATGGCTCCGCAAGTAGCATTGGATGTTCCTTAGGATCAATGAGTAAACACTCCTTGAAAGCATGATCCCATATGCTGGCAAAAATATCCCAATCAATAATAACCCCATCCTTTAGGGGAGACAGCATTTTCAGATGATCGCGTCGAAAACCCAAGGCTTGAGAGCCTACACACAATCTGCGTCTTCCCTTGGGTTTGTTGGAATCAACATTACTGTTGTTAGTCTCAAAATCGTTGTTTTCGTTGTCAACATCGACAGCATCCATCTGATCAATGGACCCCACAACAGAAGGAAACACGGCTTTGGGAGCATCTTCGCTGGCATAACCAGCTTTGCAAGTGTGAGACCCTTGATCTATCACTATAGCCGATACTTCATCCTCTTTGTACATGGCTGCAACTCATAGTGAAAGAAAGCGACACCAGAAGGAATAGAGACGCGCAGAGAAAAAAGAAAAGAGAAGTGCAGCAGCACCAATGCCAGATGTGGTCGCTAGGCAAAAGGAGAAGTGGTTGTCGGCGGCTTGGGGCAGAGACGCTCGACGAAGTGGGAAGTGGGGAAGAAAATTTTCTTTTTTTTTTTTTTTTTTTGCTTTTGCTTTGTGTGGATATTTATAGGTTCAGAGAATCCTAATCCGAACAGAAATTTCAATTCCTTTCAACATTCAATTTCAGCTCAAATTCAAACATATAATTCCAATCAAACTTAACTTACCATTTTCTTTTTTTTTTTTAGTTCTTTTTTCAGTTTTTCATTTTTTTATTTTTTATTAACAAAAATCAAATGTAGACACCGATTGAGGTGTTTACACAGTGAACCGAAAAAGAAAAAAAGGCAGAAAATAGGGTAGAAGGGGCTGCTAGTGTGAGAAACAGGAGAACGTGCAGGCAAAACAAGAAGAAAAAACGAAAAAAAGCAAGCTTAAACGGGCAGCAGAAAAACAAATAAAAAAAAAGCCAAAAGAAAGAAGAAGGATTTGAACAAAATAAACTGATGGAGAAACATGCGAAACAAGGGAAGAAGAAGACCAAAAACAGAAGCATGAAGTAAAAAACTGGGCATGTAGAAGAGGTTTGACAGTAGAAAAACGTGATTCATGAGAAGGGCATAAGAAGACAGAAACAAGAAACCAAAAAATATAGAAGTGAGTGTGAGTGGCGTGGAGGAAAGGACGAAGAGCTGAAAAATACTAGAACAAAAAGACTACTTTTGGTGAAAAATAAACAGGTAATTTTGCTTTAACTTTTCTGAAATAATTTTTATGCATGAAATAGCCTATATGCTTCCTATGCGCATGAAATAATTTATTCTCCTTCTAAATAGAGTTTTTGTGTTTACTAAGCAAAGAAGGAAAAGGTCAACAAAAAGCATAAATTTCTTCAGGCCACCATAGGAGTTTCGGTTAAAGGTAAAAAAAAAAAAAAAAAAGGAAAAGAAAAGGTCCCTTTTACATGAAGCTTGTTGCACATTCTGTGCTACTGGTTAAATTCAAAACCTCTTTTTTTTTTGTTGTGTTGGTAATGTCCCACGTTTATGAGGTTGTCCATGCTTTCATTTTCATCCTATTTCTTTGTTTATTAAACTTACTTGCATGCCGGTTATCGATGGTTCTCGAAGGTGTGGAAGCTTCGTCCTATGTTTGTTGCTCTTTACTGTGCATACGGGTTGTTTGTGAAGATGACATAAATATGCATGATTTATTCTTGATTGTTGGATTCGGTTTATAGCTTGTTTGTTTTCCATAAAGATTATATCTATGTATATTTCGTACCATTCACATTTTTTGTGTTGCTTATGTTTAATTATAATTTTAATTTGATACATTTTTTATTTTTATTTTTTCATCGGTCATATTCCTTTGCCCATTGTAATTTTATGCTGTTTAATTTTTTATATTGTAATCTATTCGTGCAAAGTAAAATAATAAAAATTATTTTTTTAGAAAATAATAATAATAAATGAATAAATAATTTTTAATTTTTAATTTTTTAAAATTTTACCTAAATATTAGAAGAAATTCAAATTTGGGTTTTAAAAAAATTTAATTCTGCCTAGTTATTAGAGAATCAAATCTTAGTAAAAAATTTAAAATTAAAAAAAATGATTTTAGAATATGAGAAATATAAAATTAAAAATATGGAACTAATAAATGATAATAAAGGTATACGAATAAGAATAACAAAATTTTAATAAAAAAGAAATATATAAAAACATAAAAAACAAAAATTCATTTTGTAAAAAATTACAAAAGATGAGCTTGCTCTGAAAGTTTGCCTAAACGTTGAAGAGTTGCTAATGATTATCAATTACAATAATATTATTTTATTATTTTTAAAGAAATGTTATGATAAATCTTAAATGAAAAGACTATATTTGAATTTTACCTTTATATCGAAGAATTTGAAAGTATTTTTTTAATTTAAAAATTTTTATAATTTAAAAATTTTTATAATATTTCTAAATAAATATTTTTTAATTGTTTTTATTTCTTAAAAATGAAAGAAATCTTAATTAAATTTTATATACAAAACCATATTATCCAAAATTATAAATAATATATTATTAATTGGTATCAATTTTATGGCCGCTATAAGGGTGCTAATTCTTCCCTGTGCGTAACAGGCGTCTGAACCCAATCCAATTTTCGTAGACCAAAACTGTTTTTTTAATAAACTTTAAATATGTTTTATTCTTTTATTAAAAGGATAAATTTTTTTGTGGCCAATTACACCCTAAAAAAAAAATAGTAGCGACTCTCCATATTTTCACAATTTTAAATTTTTATATCTAACGATCAAAACTCCGGATTGATATGTTATGACAATAAATAAATCAAGTTGACCATAATATCTGCATATATCCATCACATCTTGATAATTTAAAAAACAAATCACGAACTAGAAACAAAAGTTGATGGAAGAATAATTCTTTTATCAATGGCTTAACCATCAGCATCACATTTTGTAAAGCATGTTTGACTTCTTAATAAGCCTTTGATTTTAGTTGTGTATGACTATTTCATATGTATTAGAGGTGCATTTGTTCAAAACATAGATAAGCATCAACAATAAACTGCTAGAATAATCTCCCACCTCTTAAAACAATACCTCCAGCTTTTATTCGTTGTTGAATCAAGTAGGCATAATATTTTATCATTGTGATGTTTTTTCTTTTCTTATCATTAGCTTTAGAAAACCTTGACAGTCATTTTTTATATGTAAGACTCAATGGAAACCATCTTCATTAGCAAGGAATAAATATGGATACTGCATTACCATAAACAAAGGATAGAGCTCACTAATACACTTTAAACCATCAGTAATATGATCAATAGTGATATCATGTTCATCAATGATAACTTCATCATCACCCACAAACAACCTAACAATTTCAGAACTTGATTGCTCATAATATCATTTATCATAATTATTTCTTCTTCTAATCAATTGCAATTTAATAAGCACAAAATTAGATTCAAGAGATCTATTTATGCCATTCTAAAAGCTTTGACAACTTTATTGCAATCATTCAACATATTGATCAGCCCTTTAACAATGTAAACATCAATCGAATTTGAACTCAAAACAGGATTTAGAGCAAAAATCATGTTTGAAACCCTCATTTGCTGTAGTATAAATATACAACTGTGTAAATTTTGGAATCGAACCAACTATAGGCAACAGAGAACTAATATAATGATGCACTTGTCCACTAATTTTAAACACATATGAACTAGGTTTTCTGTTGATATCTACATCAATCTTCCCACCAATCGATGTAAATTGAAACATTGAATTGTACTTTATGATATTCTCTCTAAATCTAGCAGTTTCTTCATCTCGAATATAATCTAACAGCGAATCCAAAAAAGGAGTGCAATTAAAAGGTTACAATTTAATACTACCTTTCTTATAATAAAGGTTAAACCTAAGAGTACATTTTTTACTAATTGTGTGAACACTTTCTCCAAGCCACATCCGTACACCATAATTATTACAAACCTGATTTAAATCACTAAGATTCAACACTTAAAATATTTTCCTAAATATCAAATGAGGTAAGGAAATCAATAAATAAAACAAACAAAAGCATCCATCAAACAAAAAAAGCAAAAACAAACAATTATAATGCAAAAATAGATAAAAAATCTTTAAATTAAATTCAACAAAAAAGTCAATAAAATAGGCCAAACAAAATGAAAGCAAAAAAACTTTTTATTAGTCACTTTATGGCAACTTAACACATGCATAATAGAGTTTCCATCTTTAACATCAAAAGCAAGCAACAAATAAAAATTCAACACCAACACATAAACAAATTCTTTTGAAAATGATAAATACAAATATATATATATATATATATAGTGGTCAAGACTAACCTATATTTATATGGGTAGGCTGCACATTAGAAAGCTAAGAATTAACACATGGTAATGAATGTTGCTAAATACATCCTATGGATAAATAATCAACACATTAATGATTAAAAGACCAACAATTGAAGCAAAGCTTGACTAGGAATGATCTAACTTATAAACCACAATAGGCATAAAGAGAGGATAAAGAGGAACCTCATAAAAACCATTGAAACAGTTTGAAAATCACTTTGAGCATCAACAGTAAAATGCACACTTATGTGTCACGTTGTTCTTTGACTTTTAATATAGCCAAGCCATTTAATGTATTACAAAAAGTGCAATCCGCTTATGATAACTCATTTGTAAATTCATTGAATTGAACATTTATAGGTAACATAGAAGACAAATTATGCAAAACCAAATTTTGATCATGATAACCCTTATGACATCTAGGTATGTTTAATCAATTAAACCTATTAATCCTTCATATCTTATAATCATCCATGATTCATGTAAAAAAACAATAAAAAAACCAATAATCAATTATATACAAAAATAAAGATAAACATAACACAAAAGTAGCCAACATAAAAAAAAAAAAACATAAATCATAATGAAATCAATATAAAAAAAAAAAACACTGAGAATAAATAATCAGTAATAAGATCTAAAATAACCACAAAACAACACCCCAAAAAAAGAGATGAATAAAATGAACACAACAATTTACATAATTAGCAAAAAAGACATAACTGAATCCAATAAATAAGCATATATATATAAATATAAAATTAAAACATACCACATATATAAAGTAATATAGTGAGCACCAAAAGATAAAACAAAGTGCAACACTGAAGAGCAACCCACTAATACACTTTCAATCCAGCTATAAAAGAAAAACAAAAATGAATAAACAAAAATATTAACATAATAATAATCACCAACATCATAAAATAATATAAAAAACATATACTCATTTCCTCAAATAATAATATAATATTTATAAAACAATGATAATCATCATGAAAAGAAAGAAGAAAATAAAAAAAAAAAGAAACATAAAGTTATCCATACAAATATAACAACATGGTCACCCAAAAACTTAAAAAAAAAAAAAAGAAACAAAGGCAATTTAAATCCAAATATGACTAATTGCTTGAAAAACTAAAACCAAAAAGGCAAAATAAGAACAATCTACTAATAAGAAAATAAAAAAGAATATTTAAAAAGATAGGGACATAAATGACCAACACAACAATACCCTATAAAACACATAATAAATACCACATAAATAACACAAAAACATAAGAGCTAAAAAAGCTTAACAAATCATCTGACATGACAAAAACACCATATTCGAATAGTAAAATGGAGCATTCTATATTGATTCTTGGCTAGTAAATGCACAATGAACAATCAAAAGCAATTCATAAATGTTTAAACTAACTCAGATGCGTTAATGAAGCAAAAAACAAAAAAAAAAAACAAAATACGCGTTCCTAGCAAACCAATCGAATAACAAGTTGAACAATAGTGAAAGACTAAAGAAACTCAACACAAAAAAAAAAAAACCTATCTACAAAAATAACAAAGAGAATAAAAACAAAAAAAGCAAAAATAAATACCAAGAGAAACAGGTAACAAGGTATCAATCACTTTACGGCATAAGACATTAGCTACAGTTCGAACAATGGAAAAAAAAAGAATTATCAAACAAATTGACTTTAAAACAACCATGAAAAAGCAAAAAAGCATGGAAACCATATCAACTTGATATCTTTTCAAATCAAAAAATACATAAAAGACAACAAAACTTGACGACCATATCTAGAAAATCCACTGAATCACCCAACAACCTCCGAAAAAGCAAAAGGGTAAGAAACATTAAAATCGTAGGAAACAAAAGCTACAAAGATTAATGACAACTGAGTCATAAGAAAATGAAAAAAGAGTAATAATCCAACAAACCAAGAAGAAGACAGAAGTTACAAAGAACAAAGAAATCGAGAAAAATGCAATAAATCAAAAGAGACATTCATGAAAAAAAATTCCAATAAAACATGAAATTTTGATGAAAAATAGTGTAATGAGAAACAAATTATCAAAGGAAATAAAACAATCATCATATTAAGAAACAACAAAAGAGAAAGAGAAAGAACAACTGAACATTAAAAGAGGAGAGAAAAAAACAAAATAAAGAAAAGCCAACGAAAGAGAAAGGAAAGTCAAAAACCAAAAAAAGAAAAGTATAGCAAAAGTTTTGACATATGACTAAATCAAAGCAAAGTCAATAGAAAGTCAAATTTAGCAATCTTATGCTATCAAAACGCAAAATTTTTTTTTATATCAAAGACTATGTTTCTTGTATAAAAAATGTGATCTTTGTGGACTACATTTTTTACACAAAAAATGTAGTCGAAACAATTTTCAATCTAATTTTTTTTATTTATTATCGACCACGTTTTAAAATAAAAAAATTTGATAGATTATCAACTATGTTTTTCAAATTAATAAATGTGATTTTTGTTAGCAAAAACTACATTTTTAAGCATCATAATAAATATATTTTTTTAATTATATCAATTACGACATTTCTCATATTAAAAACGTCATTGAAATGAAAAAATTACCATTCAAAGACTATGTCTCTAACATAGAAAACGTAGTCTACATAACTTTTTTATTCATTATCAATTATGTTTTGAAAAAGAAAAACTTTGATAAATTATTAATCACATTTTCAAACCAATAAACGTAACTTTGTTAACAAAAATTACAATTTTAAATATCATAAATATTTTTTAAAAAAATTAAATTAATACTACATTTCCCTTATTATAAACGTCATTGATAAAAAAAAAAAATCATTGTTCAAAGACTACGTTTTCAACATAGAAAATGTAGTCTAAATAATTTTTAAATCTAAATTTTTTATTCTTTAACAACCATGTTTTGAAATTAAAAAAAAAAAAATGATTTTTGATAAATTATCAACACATTTTCAAATTAATAAACGTGAGCTTTGTTAGCAAAAACTATATTTTTAAGTATTATAAATATTAATTTTTAAATTATATCAATTATTACGCTTCCCACATTATAAACATCATTACGTGAAAATATTTATATTATTTTATCATTATTTTAATTGATCAACTACATTTCAAACATAAAAAATGCAATGCTTCCTAAAATTTAATAAATTTAAAATTATAAAATTACAATCATTTACTACATTTGTTCTTTTAATAGCCATCCCAAATTCAGTATTTGAAAAGTTATGGGAATAATTTTAATTGTTAGTATATATTTATCACCTAAACCTTTTATCCACCCCTTTCTCATTCTTTCTTTGATTAAATCAAAAAACAAGAATCACTCTTTTTTTTCTCAAATATTTATGCTAAATTTAAAAAAAAAAAAAAAAAGCATGAGACAGCCATGTGGTAACTTAAATGATCAGTACCGTGGAAAGGACGAGTAAAATTGAGCAAAATTTATCTTATAGACTAGACAATAAGAGGCAGTGAAAGTGTGAAATGCTCATACAATTATAAAGAGAAGTTTGATAGAAAAGTTTCATTGATGGACACAATTGCACGCATGGGTAGCTTGCCTTCTTTTGTCTATTAATGCAAATTTTTCTCGGTCATTATAAATTGCTTCTGTTACCAACCATTATAAAGTTCTCTGATAAACCTATTTAAGATGAAAAGTCTCCAGGATTCTTGCTCAAATCAATGCCAAACGCACATACATTAAACCCGGGAAATGCTTTATTGACATCATCATGAAACTTACATGCGGAGAAAGGATTGTATGAAACAACTACTACCTTACAGCTGCATCGCTCATTCATCGAGAAAACAACCTTTAATACTCCAATTTAGTAAGGTGAAGAAAATCTAGACAGAAACATCAGAAGGGTAGTCTTTTGGATGTCTGCTGATAGTTTCTCTGAGTTGTTTCTCTTGTTCCTGAAGGTTAGATGTTGGATGATCATAGACATCAGAGAACAACTCTGTTAGCGGCGGCTTCTCTGTTTTTTCCGCCACCTGAATTGCTTGCAATAACTGCAGGAAAGTTCCTATATATGTATTAGAAAAATTAACAATAATGCAAAATCTGGCAACCAAAACTGATTGTGGGAAGGAAACTCGTCCTTGGCAATTATCACCTGTTTCCTGATACTGTTTCGAACTTCAGTTTCTTGTTGTTCACTCCACCAACCATTATTTTGAACCCATTTTCTAAATCTGTTTACAGGGTTTCGAGCCATTTTCCAGTAGTCAATTTCATCAAGCTCTCGATACTTGGTGGAATCATCAGATGTGGAATGGTGTCCTACTCTGTATGTAAGGGCCTGAAAATAACATAAAAGTTTAAACACAGAATAAATTACTTCCGCAAATTCCATTGCATTGGAAAAGATTTCCGCGCCAAGGTTTTGCCATTTGGCTGATGAGAGACCTCACCTCAATAAGGATTGCTCTCTGTTCATTTATAGCCATTTCGCGAGCTGCAGAAACTGCACTGTAAATAGCAAGGGCATCATTTCCATCCACCCTGATGCTTCTTATTCCATACGCTCGACCCTTTACCACGATGCCATCACCTGGAGAAGATAATGAATTCTAAATAAGTTTCAATCGGAAACAGCAGAGGAGCGCCCTTCTAGAAAAGAATGATGAAAGCTAATGTACTTCGAAACTGTTCTGATATATTTGTACTGATTGCCCAGCCATTATTGCGACAGAAAAAAATGACAGGGGCTTCCATAACTGCTGCAAAGTTTAAACCGGCATGAAAATCTCCCTGCAGAAATAAAATGGAAAACCATGATCAATTAAGCAAATAAAGTTTCATTTCCTAGAGAAAGTAGTGACTAGTATTGTATTGAGATTATTTTTGTACTTACTTCGCTTGTGCCACCATCTCCAATGTATGAGACTACACATGCTTTTTTGTTATCCATCTTAAGAGAATAAGCTATGCCTGCAGCTTGAGGAAGTTGTGTCCTAGAAATTAAGGCAATGACTTTTGCAAAGTTAGCTATACATGGGGAGAAATCTATACAGTAGAAATAGATAGCAGTAGCAGTTTAACATGAGGACTATAAGTCTTACGCAATAGGGGATGAGATGGTGATGAAATTGTGCTTTTTAGACCCATAATGAATTGGCATCTGCCGGCCTTTCCCATAGTCGGCATTGTTTCCAAAGCACTGGTTGGCGAATTCTTGCAATGTGAAACCACGCCATAACAGAACCCCCGGTTCTCGGTACTGGCATTACATTAGTTGAACAGTGCTTCAGTTTCAATCATATAATCAAATCAATTATTGTTTAAGCAGTTCTTTTTCTTCCTATCTTTTAGTCATGTTACTCCGAATACGCCTATATAATGTGACCCATAAAATTGTGTAGCCCTTAAAATTGCAAGGCTCAAACTGATAACAGGAACATTCTCTCTGTTTCCCTTGCTCTCATCCCGTAAGTCGTAGGTTGAAATCTCACGACTGCAACCCCTTTCTCTACCCTTGGATTGCAGCTTTATTTGTAAAAAGAAAAAGGCATCTAGATATCTTCAAACTTGAAAAATTAATGTATGTAGTGCTTCACCTGAGGCAATATAATGTCTTGTTCAGTAAGAGCTGCTGCAGATGCTATGCTAATTGCTTCTTCACCCGTTGAGGTCAAGTAGAAGGATATTCTTCCTTGTCTTTGTGCTTCATAAAATATGTTGTCCATTATTTGCAATGTTACCATGTCACTGTACATTTTTACTGCAACATCCTTGCCTACCTGTTTCATTTTTTTTCCTTTTAATTTTCTTGATATTTGGAGCTTCAATGATATTAAATTAAGTTAGCATTGTAAAAATTTAAAGAAAACAAAAGAAAACCTGTTGAAAATCACCGCCCATTATCAGCTCTCCATTATCGTCCAAAACTCGATAACAAGGTACTCTCATTCGTGAAGATTCTGTGATGAAATTCATTTCGGAAGTATATGTAACTTTTCCTCCCGGAAAATCCAGTGACTGCAATTACAAGAGATTGAGTTTTACAATTAGAAGTTTCACTTGATCTGGATCTATACTATTAATTAATTAAAGAAATCTTATGGCAATTTTCATTTACAAATTTAACTGCAGGTAAGCTGAAGTCCCTTCTCAATCATTTAATACTAGTCCTGTAGAAATACTACCATATTACACCTACAGGTTATCTTCATTTTTGTAAGTCTTCTTGAAATTGAGGAGAGTTTCATGACTTTTATCTATGATCTATCTATAACTCATATTAAAGTTATCACCGAATTTATGATCCCTCAATTTCAATGATACTTAATTTGGGACATAAATATGATTAGTATGTTAATTGAAGCATGAAATAAAATTGGCTGGGGTTGATTTGGAGAAAGAATGATATATATATATATATATATATATATATTATATATATATTTTTTTTGAACGCGTAACTATTAATTTTTTTTCTTTGTTTTTATTTTGTTATTTTTATTTTTATTTTATTTTTTTTAGTTTTAATTTTTCTTTATTTATTTATTGATTTGTTTATTTTTTCTTTATATACATATTTAAAGTTTTAGATTAGGATCATGTTTTAATTATTCAACAACATAAAAAAATTAAAAATATGCATTATATAAATAAATTTATAAATTTTTTAATTATATTTATTTATTTGTATCATGTAAATTTTTTTAAAATAGAAATAAATGAAAATATTTGCAATAATGAAATTATAAGAAAATTGTATGTGGTGTTTGCAATTTCTAGATAAGATATTTTCTTAAAATTTTACTAAAAGTATTCCAATAAAAAACATTTTATTTACATTTTAATAAAATATTTTAAAAAAAATAAAAGTCGGTAAAAATAAAAATAAAAAATTTTCCTAAAATTTTAAATTAATTTGATGATAAAATCTCTTCAAAGAAATAAATAAATTTTTTGAATACACTTAAGGTGAAAAAATCTCAAAATTCTATCAAATATTAAAGAAAACCTAAAAACTTTTTAATATTTTAAATAATAAAATTTAATTATGAATAAAGAAACTATTTAGATAGAATAGTGTTAGAATAATATAAAATTAATTAATATCATCTACGGATGGACATTATAAAAATAATAATATTTTCTTCACATGTGAATTAATTAATAACATATAATAAAAATTATCTTCAAGTGGAGATAACTTTTAAATTGCAAGGCAAGTTTTATTTGTCAAATAGTTAATATTTGATAAAAATGTTTAGTAAGTTATTATATTTGACAAGTCATATGTGTCAGTTTTTAATTGAATTGAGACAAGGTGAATTGAATTTTAATAGCATTTAAAAAAAATTTATGGATATTTGTATGATGTTAGCTTGTAATTTGGCGTGTTTTGAGCTTTTACCTTTTAATATTCACAATAAAAGAAAATAATAAAATATTAATAATGAAAATATAAATATAAAAAGACATAAAAATAAAAAAAAAGTTACATTTCTTTTTTTATTTAGTTTTAAATATTTTTATAACAAAATTTATAATCTATAAAAAAAATTAATCATATATTTTAATCATATAATTAATAAAATATACAGCACTCATAACTTAAACATAAACATAAAAAATAACAAAAAATGTAATAATAATATATAAAATAATATATTTTTAATTTAAAATTTTAAAATTCTTATATTAAATAATTAGTCTAGCCAATGTGGTAATTCTAGTATGTTATAATTTCATACCCAAAAAGATATTTGTTTCTCAAAGAATATTTTACACCCATGTCTTTAAATGTAAAAATAATTATGAGTGCAGTGTCTAGATAAGAATTGCGAAATAGATAAGCATTATGGAGTGGGCTAGGAGAAAGGGACATGGAAAAGAAAGTAGTTTGGAAGTAGGCATTGATGATTGAACCAAAGACAAGTGAAGCCGACACACTTTATTTGATGAAGAAAAGAGTCCAGGTGTGAAACATCTATTGCCCATTTCCTTCCTTTTCCCTTTCACAGGACAATTCCTTTTGCTCATGCTTTTCCAAAAACATTTATTTTTCTTGTTTTGCTTGGCGTTGTCCATTGCACAGTTAGAATCAGAGTCGTACGTGGGAACATGTTTTGTGAGGTAGGGCCGAGCAACGGTCAGGTTATTCGTGAATCACGCTGCACTGATTGGATTTTAATTAATTTTGGAGCGGCTATGATATTTGATGGATGGTTTGAGGTTCACATTTGTAAAGATTGGCATTATTAGAATGGTCCGTGGTCCAAAAAGCTTATGAAACGATCCAAAAATTTAATGACCAATGAATGATCCATGATTCTAGCTTCACTACTGTCCGCTGGACCATACTCACCCCTATTGTAAGATAATGGCTACTGCATTAATACTTTCCGTCTCCATGCATGCGTGTCATTCGAAAGATTTTTTTTTTTTTGGCAAAAACTTTGTTTTATGAAGTGACTAAAGCCATATCATCTAATTTTTAAATAGGATATGTGATAATCTTTTAATTCAGTTGGTAAAATTTTTAAATTTTATTAATTATGATGAGATAATTTTTGAAAAATAATCTCATACTAATATAATTATGATAAAAATTTTAAATTTTACAAACAACTCATAAAATTTGACTATAATTAAAGAATAAATAAATTAATATAATATACTAGCTAACTATGTAAATTTATTTATATAATTTAAAATTTTGATTGTCCGATATATGTACCAATTTGATTAAAAACTGTGAAAGGGATAACAAGATGACTCGACCACATATTAATGCAAGCCTAATTGCGTACTCCAATTGAGCTACCTTCCTCCCTGAAGAAGGCCTGGCCATTGTACCAAACAAAATGGGAAGTTTATTAGAGTACGTTAAGTGTTGATCATGCTTGAATGGGAACAACTTGTAACTAAAAGACCTGCTTCACTATCTAGTTTGGGTGATCAAATTCGAATGCCCTACGGAAAGGATTCTCCTCGATTTGTCATGTCATTTTAGGATTGGCCTCTTATTTGGGTGGTTTTTTTTAATTAAACGAAATTAGTATTAACTACAAAACAAACTAAAAAAACAAATCTCAATTTTAAAGCAGTAAACGCGCACTGACAAACGATCATTGCATAAGTCAGGCGCCCAATCAAACATCAACAGATTATTTGCTTGCATCTTAGTCAAAGTCACCGCTTCATATATATTACTAAAACAAGCCCACATCTACAGGATAAGGAACCTTGTGATCTATGAAAAAGGCTTTTTATTTTTTTTTTACAATGTACTTATAAAAAGTGTTACACCTCATACCGGAATTTTTTAGGATTAAGATCATAATTATGGATTTTGATTACATTGATATTATGAGCTATAATCAATAATCGATCTCTTAATAAAATATTTAATATTTAATTTTAATGATTAATATTATAACTTCAATTATATAAAAAGATATGGACTATATTTATTATTTTGTTTTCGGCGAAAGGTTATAAGACTATCAATTCATTAGTCGAATTGGTGTATCCAATTCTGACAAAAAAAATGACCTTTGTTTAGCGGCTCATGATTCACACATTTTTAAAAGAAAAAACGAACGAATCAAGAAGTAAAAACTTATTATTTTGAATATAGACGAGATAAAATTAATTATGAGATGAGAAAAAATTACTTTTCATTCGTAACTCAATAGGATCATATGTGAAAAAAATTTTTTAAATTTTCAACATTTATCAAAGCCACTGACAATTAATAATAACCAATTAAGTCATTAGCAGGGTTTAGATAATTTGTTTGCATATATAATTAAATTTTGGGAATTAAAAATTTAAACCCAAAAACCTCCATTGAGGGTGGTAATATGCATGCATAAAAGGCAGGCCAAGAGTACTTACCCGATGATCATCATCACTATCGCTAGAGAAAAACGAATCAAGTTGCTTTTCAGCTACGGTGGACTTGGAACGTAGAACAGAGAAAAGGGCAGCCCTGCTCCACGGCAATGAACGCAAATATCTGGAGTTTTGATAAGGAACCGGCCGCAGGTTGCTCAAAGACGAACTTTGAAACGTCGAGCTCCAACAACTTTGGTTAACGACAGCGCACCCCATGAAACCTTTGTTCATACATTTCCTTATACGGTTGGCGATGTTTCTTGATCTTCTCCACAAAATGGCCATGGAAATAGGAATAATGGGGTTTGTGTGTTTGTGTGTGTTTTTTTTCTTTAATTTAGCTATAGACAGCTAGATGATATAATGTAAAGGGGAAGAAGAAGAAGGAAAAAAAACAAAAAGGAATATGATCAAATATTAAAGAACAAAAGAAATGAGATATTGATTCGAAAGAAAGTGGCAGAAGAAAGTAGCTGGCAGAGATATCTTTTATTTCTGTTTGACACGTCAGCAGGCAGGCAGGCAGGCAGTCAGGCAAGCAGGAGTAGCCCAATTTGGTTGACGTGACAGGTCATCTGTTGTTCCTATCTTAAGGCAGATTCATTACTTTGTTTGTCCCAATAAGTAGGTCATTAATATATAATAACGTAGCACAAAGTTTATAACATTTAATATTGTACTATAATTATGTAAATTTATCTAAATATCCCCCAAAACCAATAATGTGTTTTATTTTTTAATTTTTTTCGCCCGCCAAATTTCTATGCATGTGAACCATGTGGCCCTTGCTCTTCCTTTCTAGCGAACCAGCTTTGCACATCCTTGGATAATTTATTATTTATGGAGGATTTAATTTTTCTTTTCTTTTTATAAGATAAGATTTCTTATATAAAAAATTCAATACAACTCTTTGAATCAAAGGTACTAAATACTCTAAAAAAATTAAAATTGAGCACAATAAATAAAATAAAATTATCATAATTTTAACAAATGATATGTTACGAATCTAAAAATTATAATTTACGAAATAAAATCTCATATTTAAAACATTAGATCAATAATTATATTGCTTTTAATTAACACGCATTATAAAGGTACCTATTAATATTTTTATATTCGATGCAACACACATTATTAATTATGAGGGTAATTTTTTATCTTAAAACGAATAAGGATTTTGTTTTTTTGAATAATCATTTTAGCATTCTACTTACACGTTTATAGATCTATACGAGGAGCTTTCAAGGTATACCGGTATTTTGTTCTCCCTACGTTTTGGATTGTTTAATTTAGATTAATGCATCAAATATGATAATAGATGGATTGGATTAGTGCGTCAAAAATAGTGGTTTACACAATTGATGTTGTTATAAATTTAATAGTGTAAAAAAATTTATTTGCACTGCCTTTTCTAATGACTTATAATGATATAAATAGAGTGAAAATAAATTAATTAAATTACTTCAAGTCATATTATTAACTTAATATTAGTTGGAGATTTAGAACAATGAAAAAAATAAAAATAATATATTTTGAAATTTGAATGAATTATTTTATAAAATAATTTAATTTTACTATAACCTTAAACTAATTTTGTATAATTATCTTCATTTTTACTCTTTTTGCAATATAGGTTAGAAAATTATTGTAAAGAAAAATTTAAGCATCTTTCATCTACACATGTAAATTATTAAAGTTTTAGAAGAGATCAAAGTTCGAATGGTTTGTTTTATCAATTGAACATAACAAAAATAAAATTCAAAATATTTATAAATACAAAAACAGGGAAAAAGATTTATAAAAGAGAAGAGAATGTTTACCTAAGAGCTGTTATCACCAAAATCATTTAGCATTCTTAATTTTAATAGTATGTTATATATATATAGGGTAATATAGATAATAACAAATTAAGTAATTTGACAACAAATAAATAAAATATATAAAAATAATAAAAATATATTATTATTACTTTCTATTATATAATAATAAATTAAGTAATTTAATAATAAATATATATCTATGTAAACAAAAACAAAATCTAATATGACTACTTTCTATTATATATAATATAATAATAATTAAGTAATTTGGTAATAGATAACTATAAAAGTTAAAAAAACACAATATTATTATTTTCATTAGATGGAAAAAAAATTAAGTAACTTAACAATATATAATTGCAAGTGTAACAAAAAATAATAATATTATATTTCAATAACAAAAGTTATAATTTTTTTGTCCATACTATTAATTTTGATAACTTTGACTTTCACCGAGATTTACCATAACTATTCTATTTTCTTTTCTTTTCTTTTCTCTTTTTTGGTTTTCTTTTCTTATTTTTTATATTTTATTTACTTTTTCTTTCTATTTTTATATTCAATAAATTATCTTTTATATTTTGTAATTTTTTGTATTCGACCCAATTGATGTCAAATCGTCTATATTTCTTTTTTTTATTAGTTCTTTCTTCTTTTTTATTTTATGTACTTTTTTTATCCATTTATATTTAATAATTTTTTTATATTTTGTATTTTTTGTGTGGGCCAATTTGATATTATTGATGAAAAATATTTTTGCTTTTTTTAATCAAATAATTTTGTAAAAAAAAAATGATACCAATAAAAGTATCGATGTGACCTGCATATTTAAAGTGTTTAAAGTACTTTATTTCGATGTATTTTGAAATATATATTTTTTATTATTAATTTAATTTTATATTTATATATTATATTACTCAAGTTATTATTTAATATTTTAATTTAAGAAATTAATGTTTTAAACTCAATAAGATTCTCTATGTGACACCTTCTATAAGTTTTTTTTTTTTTTGTTTTTCCCTTTTACTTTTATTGATTTTTTTTGGGATTTTGGCTTTTACTTTTTTATTAGATAAATTTTGTGAGATTATAAGGTCAACAAATGTGTCTTCATGTTATCCTAATTTGGCCTTTTTTACCTTTGACCTTTTTATTTTTTTAATTACATAAATTTTATATTAAAAAAAGGTTAATAAGGATTGCAAAACAAAATAATTTTGACCGTGACAATGCACATATATTCATATGATAAAATTAAAAGGTAAATAAGAAAAAGAGCTATAAACATTCCATTTTATCCAAAAAAAAATTTTGATATTAAAATGGGCTTTAAATTTCATACAAAATTGTAACGAGGTCTTAGTTGATGAAATTTAAGCCCAATAGGATAACAAACTTAGATTTTTAATTTTGAGTTGAAATTTAATTTTCAATCTTGATTTTGATTTTGATTTTGATTTTATTTAGTTTTAATTCTAATTTGGTGGTCTATTTTGGTCCAAAAATCTTGGATTTGGTGTTGAATCAATCGAATGATAAGATTTAGAAATCATTTGTATGATGAAAACTTAGGCACCAATTCATGCAAAAAAAAAAAAAAAAAACTCACATAAAATCAAATCACAGTGAGGATCCAGTTGAATTGATTTATTTTCAAATTGAAAGAGATTAAATCCCTATAAAAGTAACTCTCAACCAGCGATAAAGAGAAAGAACTATTCAAGCAAATTCTAGCAATTATAGTGTAAAAAAAATTTTGGGTTTTGTTTTAGTTTTGGAATCTGATTTTTTATTTTAGGGTTTGATTTAATCTGGTGTTCTAGAAAATAATTTTGATCTTTGGGTTTTTGGTTTTTTGGAGTTGGATTTTAATTTTTGGGCTTGATTCACTTTTGGAATTGCTAGGTTTTCTAGGATCTTTCTAGAGATTCTATGGCTTTTTTGGGTTTGGATTCAAATTTTTAAGTTTTTCTAGGTTTTGATTGAATTTTATGGTGTAGTTTGAGTTTTTCGATTGAGTATTGTAATGGTCGAAAGAATTCATTACAGTCAAAATATGGGGTTCTCACTGGAATCTAGAAACCTTGAAGTTTTCAGCCAATATTCATACTTGGCCTAGAGAGAGAATTAAAGGTTAGAGAGAGAAGTTGTGCCAAAAAGTGAAAGAAAACAAGATTTTAGTTTTATAGCAATTAGAAACACTGTATTTCTTTAACAAATGAGATCCACTTTCTTTTTTCAATGCGACCCAATACCTGCACTTGTGACCCGACTCACTACACAGATCTAGCTCTGAGTCATTGAAGTTGCACCACAGAGCCACAGAGCAGAGTCAAGCTTTTAAGCTTCCAAGCCATTAAATTAGTCTTGAGCCAAGCTTATTTGAGTGGCTGAACCAAGCTAATATTATTTCTTTGGTATTTTTTGTATTTATTTATTTAGTTAATCCATTTGATTTATTTTTTATTGATTTTTCTAAAAAGAAATATATTTTTTAAAATTCATGAGCCTTAACAAACGATTGGAGGATTTTTATTGATTTAGAAATTTTAAATTATGAATTCTAACAAAATATTGAAGAATTTCATAATAGAATTTTTTGATAAAATAAAAATTTTCAATCCTACAAATTATTGGAGGATTCAAATCTTGAATTAAATCTTGCAAAACTAGTGGAGGACTTAATGAATTTTTGTGAAAAATAGTTTTTCAATCTAATCAAACAATTGGAGGATTTAAATTTCAAGTTAAATCTTACCAAACTATCAAAAGATTTAATAACATTTTTAAAATTTAATGAAAAGGTTTTCAAATAAAAATTTCACTAAACTATTAGGGGATATGTATCGAAAAAGAATCCTACCAAACTATTGGAGGATTTTGTTGATTATTTTTAAATAATTAATTTCTTAAAAACATGTTAATGAATTCGACGATGGAGTTTTTTTATAGTGGAACACTAATTTTCATGAATACTCTTGAAGTGAAAAAATCATCTTAAATTTCTACCAAATTATTTGAGTAATTTTAAGATCAATTTCCAATAATTAAATTATTTAGTAAGCTATAAAGATATTTTAAGACTTTGATAACTTGAAATTAAACTGGTATCATTTTTTTGAGTGGGCATTATGATGGTGTTATAACCTTCCTCACGTATAACCGCACTTTGGGACTAAATCTAGTTTCTTAGACTAGAATTTACCATTTAAAGATACTTAAGTCAAGCTTGAGATTTCTCTTTAAAATGGATAGATTCAATTAGGTTGTCAATCGCACTTAAACTAAAAAAGATTGATGCAGACTTGTAAGTCTATATCTAGTGATAGGTCCATGAATTTATACATTATGATAGTTTGGTGACTCCACGGTGAATAGATGAGAGTCAGGCTAGTAAATGATTTCATGTTATCTTAGCCTAACTTAACAAATTTTGTGTTGTCTTTTATGTTTTATTTTTAAATTCTATTATATATTATCTTCTATTTGTATATGCATAACATGAACTATACACCTGAGCTCCGTCTTTTAGGAAAAGAGCAATATACCTATGCTTTTGTGAGATTTCATGTCTCCGTATGAGCTAGCGAAATGCTTTCACTCAAGTTGAATCTTTTTCACTTATAGCCTATAATAGGTGAAGATTAAGGTGCCTTACTAGTCTATAGCAAACATAATGTAAGGAACAATTTGAGAGCCTTTAGTTGTTAAACTTTTGAATTAAGTATATAAATAAACCTTAGAGGTCCAAACCTAAGTTAGAGCCCTGCCCTCTCTTGTCTTAGAAAATCTTAAATAGGACATATGATGGGACATTTATTAC